GTGGGAACCGGTGCGGAGAAGGGAAAGAAATGACTGGGAGATGCGGTCGGGCGAGAATGAGGAGGGGTGCGTATCTGGTCTTTTCTGGCTTTCCTGTATTGTTTGGATAAGGATGCTGTAGCCAACCTGGCTTATTGCTTCCTGGGAGAATACTGAGACAAACAGCTTCTAAAATTGCATGTATAATTAATTAATGTACTCACCTGAGTCACTCTGTCCACTCTGCCAGAGACATTCTCCCTGTCCAAGTCTTATCCTTGTTCTGCCTCAGCTCCCCTACCTGCAGAACACAGTTAATAACTCTAAGGGGGTATTTTTAATTACTCCTAAGGGTAAAGCCTTGTCACTTGACCACTTTGCCTAATGTGGCATTCAGTTGTTTTGGTCATGGACTATTTTTTACTCTGTGAATTGCGGGCAGCATTTGGCATAGCTGGAAGCTCTGAGTACTCCCATAAGACAAGAAGTAATTGTAACATTGGCACCATTCATACGATGGCATGTCATCTTAACCATCAGCTCCTGGCACATTCACAGTCTGGGACTGGAATTTTGATGACTATAACTGACTGTCAGAATACATGTCCAGCTGTTCAGACATGGCATTATGCCCACCTACACTGGTTTGTTCCCCTCCCTCTGACAGGTCCCAGGCAAACAGAATTTAAGCAGTAGCCTGCATGACTGCTTAAGCCTTCCACTGGGAGATCACTGCCTATGTCAGCAAGCTCTGACATTCTGGCATCTCCCACAGCTTACTATTGCCTGCTGTCATTTGTATACCAAAATTAATCCATTAACCAAAGAGGGGACAAATTGAGAGAACAAGATTCAAAGTTCTAGCTCGTTGCCAACAAGACAGGTTGGATTACTGAAGATATATTTAAAACACACCATATGACTGGCAGTGACAAAGTGGAGTTGAAAAATACTACTTTTAAAAGCACTGGATTGAGCAGGCATTTTCATGTCATCAGGCAAACAAGGAATGATTGGACGACCAAAATGCATATTTGCTCATCTGGGCTCTGATTCAGCAAGATGATCACACCTAAAATGCCTAAAACTGCATCTATCTGCCTTTGTTCCTAAAGTCAGGGATACTCTTGAATGTCTTTTTGTACTTAATGCAAGAAGCAAGAAGAATGTGCAGTGCCAAAGCAACCACAGACCAAAGCAACACATGCACAAAACATCAGAAGCTTTGCATATACCATGTGAAACACGATTATTAGCAGAAGGCAAATGCACACACTATAGATTGCTAGGGACTTGACATGATTTGCCAATGTGCTGCATGCAGATCAAGACAGCTCACTGCAGTCGTAATTCCAGAGTCCTGAAAATTGAATGCACACTACAGTTGCATATGGTGCGGCTTCCCTGCAAATTTGTTCCCCTTTTGATGTAACTATTAAGTTTGTTTAGTTTGATTAAACGTTTCCATTTCTTGACTCACTTTTTCAGACATGTTAACAGAGCAATTAGAGTAGTGACTGACAGGTTGTCTCTGGTGTTCTCTCTGGTATTGATTTTTTCAATAACAGCTGGGCAAGTTACTTAATTTCTGAGATTACTAAAGAGTAAAGGCCCTTTATATACACCAAAACTGGTGTGAAAGGAAGTAGATGTGATTTATGTTTGTTGAAAAGTTTCTTTAGAGAGTCAGGCTCGTATAAAGAAAGAAGTGGCTTTCAGTCCACAGCATCTAGGCTGTAATACTAGGTTCTGTAACTTGGTCTTTATAGACAGCACTGCTGACTGGCTTTTACATTTGGAATCATAATTAAGCACTGTGGAAAACAAACTGATATTGTTCAGAAGACTTTCCACATTCCACCCTTTAGAAATTCCTCTTCTGTAGGGAAGGCTAGGGTCATGTCTGTCACTTCCCACTATTCAGTGTTTGAAAATAGAAACCTGGCTATTTACTTCCATCAGCCACAGAAGGTATTCCTTCCAAGCTGACTAGGCTATACTTTGATGAACCTGGTGTCAGCGGAGAAAGCAAGCCCAGCCTGCTGCTTGTGGTGTGGTTCTGCCCAGCTGAGGAAGGAGGCAGGCTCTCTTTGTTCTCACAATGATCTAGTGACTTAAGTGACATTTCAGTGTGCTGAGTGTTACCATCTCTTCTCCCCCACAAGACAAAGAAAGTGAACTTGTCATTTCTCTTTGCTTGTTTTAATAGCTTATCTTTCCTCTCCCCTTCTTCCACCTCTAGTCTTTCTCAATCTCCTCCGTGCTTTCCTATTTTCTCATAAAACCTTTCTCTTTCCTCACTGTAGTTCCCTAGTTAAGAATAATGAAACTGCTTTTTATGCAAACTTTCTGAATAATATTTTAACATGAAGCTCCCAGCAGAGGATCTGGGGGAACAAGAAGGGAGGAAAGCTTAGAGGGGAAGAAAAGAAATCTAAATTACATCAAATGAGTGTGATGAAATAAACAGTGGTGGCATGTTCACTTACTTCAAGAAGCACTAGTAGAACTAATTGTCTCTATTACACTTGAGGATGCCAAGCCCTACAGAGGGTAACATTTAGGAGGCAGCAGTTGCTGCTATGGCTTCAAACTTTGTTTTCTCATAACTGATCCTGGATAACACCAAGGCCCAGTCATCCTCTTCTCAGCAAATCGCTGCCCGATTGTGTTTCTGACAGGATTCCATGGGTGGTTTCAATTCTTTCCAGATCAAAGTTCTAGCTGACCATCGCAGAAGGCAACCTCAGACTCTGGCCCAGCTGCAGCTGGCACAGGACTGCCTGGGGAGGAGGGGGCCTCAGTGATGGGACACTTTTTGACAGCACCTGTCCCGAAGTACTCTGTTACAGAAAAGTGCTCTGTTACAGAAGAGGTGGAAAAATATATGGTCACTTTACCAACATCAGTTCCTTAATCCCTGTCTGCTACTTAGCACCTGCTCCATCATGCACAGCATCTTACAGTGTGGCTTATTTTAGCTATTATTTCCACAGTACTCTGCTTACCCGGTCTGGGGATCAGGGGTGACACCACAGGAAATTCTGAAACTGAGGCACAGGTAAGGGAGAAGCAAGTCTTACAGCACTCTGGTATGCTGTAAGGGTGACCCAGCCTGAGACTCTCACAGGCAAATTCCTAGGAGGGAAGATGAAAACCTGCTACTGTAGTAATTGATCCTTGGATTTTGCATTTGGAAGGAGCAGGATACCCCAACACGATGGGAAGAAGTGCAGTCAGCACCATAACACCCCTTCATGCTGCGACACCATTGCATGCATAATTACGGAGTTTTCCCCAGGTTGTTGCGAAGAGCTCCACAAACTGGCCAACACTTTGCTCCCATATTTATAGATAATACAGTCCCTCTGCTTTTGTCATTACTCTAAGAAACACCTCTGCCATGCATACATAGCATTATGGGAAGGTTAAAAGAGCAATACCGTGGTGTTTTTGCTCATGCCTTGTGTATAATCTTCTGCTAGGTAGCCCTCTATCTTGCTCTGCATTCCCAAAACACTTCATAAACGACTCCAGTTTCCATTATGGAATTCTTCAGGGCTCTTCAACTGTTTATCAGGCCAAGGCTTGGCAGTGGCTTTCCTGTCTGATAATGCTGGTTGACAAGCTCCACAAGCATCCTTCACAAACTCTACAATGCATTCCTGTTTACAATGTAAAATTTCCAGCACTTGGGTCACAGCCTAACCAGTATGTCTGCTTGTCTCTTTACCTGATTACAGTTCTCTTTCTCCTGAACACCATATTCTTCTAGTTTGTTATCCTTCCCAGGTTGCTACAATCTGTCCCTCTCCTCCTCATTCTACAGAGGAATAATTTCAACAGGTTTTGTCTTGAAGGGAAATCCTCCATGTGAAAATGTGCTAGTGAAGCCAGTGGTAAAACTGTACAAATTGGCTATAATTCTAAAAAGAGAGTGATCAGTCTTGTCCTTTAGCTAGAAAAACTTAGCTATTTGTTGCTGTGGTGTTTTGGCTAATATGACAAGCATGACATGGTTGATTAAACCACTGATTGCATCAGCAATTTGCAATAGAGTTAAGTGTCTACCAAGGGCAGTCGTGTAATGTTTGTAATATAGAGGGCCTCTGAAATGTTTGGAAAGGCTTCTATTGAAGACACAACCCAGACCTTGCATGTTGCCATTAAACAAAATGGAAGGAATAATCTCAATCTTTTAAACAAAGTAAATATGCACATGCTTTGCTAGTAAGTTAGAAGATAACAGGGTAAATTCTAGTCTCAGCTATAATATTATAGTAAATGTGCAGTCATTCTAACTATCCCTGTAGAGTTACTTGAGATTTATAGCTGCATCTCTAAAATTAGAATGCAGCCCCTGGTCTTGATCTTTAAGATCTCATATATCAGATTTATTATGATGCTTTTTTCACCTAGCTTCCATTGAAAGCCATATCCCTTGCTTCTGTCATTCCCTTTTATTATTATTATTATTATTAAATATCTGTACATAAGTTAAAACCCCAGCACACTGCAATAAG